CTGTTCTAAAAGAATTTTTCCACAGTTTCAGTACACAGTACTATCGAGATCAAACAATAGCGATAATACCCCCTCCCCTGCCTCGATACAATTTTAACGGCACAAAATAACTTGATGAGGGGAAGAGCGGGGGAAGGAAAAAAAAAAAACAATTTCAAGCAATGACCTCACTTCCTCAAATACCAGTAAAAAGGGCAAGAGAAAAGGCGCAACTAAATCCCCGCTGCAGTTTCAACGGCTTAAAATAACTCGATGAGGAAAAAGACATTTTAAGCAATGGCCTCACTTCCTCAAATTATAAAAAAAAAAAACACACACACACAAGGCGAAAAATAAAAGCAACAAGATATACACAAAAACACAAACAACTGAGATATTATTCATACCAGCACAGATGATGTAATTATTGACTATTTCACTTCGTCTTCATTTGCAATCATGTTCGGGATGCCATCACGAATCGGGAAAACTCGGCCACTTTCCGGACATTTCAATTCACCTTCCAAAATTTCAACTGATACCATTACACGATGCAGTTCTTTGAGCAGCGGTTCGAGCTCTGTATTCTCATCCTCCTCAGTGTGCAGCTGCTCCGGAAGACACTCCGGCAAATTATCACCTTCACCGATACTACTGGCAGCCTGTCGTAGCACTTCATAGTTCACCTTTGGGATCATTCGCTGCACAAACACTCTGTTGAATTCGTGCTGCTGCACTTCCTTCTTCGTTGCTGTTAAAATTAGCGGATAACCCTCCTTGACACCTTTCAAAAAGCAGGAGGACAGAAAATTATGTGCAAGTAATTTCATCGCCAGTTTACGTTACTCTCTTTCAGATCTGCAAGAAAATTTACATGGCATAAAAAAGTGGGGGAAGGGAGGGAGGAGAAAAGTGCAGGAGGAGGTACCGTCGATGCTCTAAGACGTCAGAATCATCGCGACATAAGGACGAATAATTTAAAGCAGTGGAATTCCGTCGGAGTAAGAACGAAGCAATGCCTAGTAAAGCAAACAGACGGACTGGAAATAC